CACAGTAAATCCAACCTTCCTTCCTTTCTCTCAGCATACCTGGATGTGACCAAACAGAGGGACCTCAGTGGATTTTACAGACACCTTTTAAACCAGAGGGTAGGGGAAGAAGAAATGCCTAAATGCAGCTTCCGTGAAGCCAGGTAGGATGTGATTCCAGCAGGCTTTTGGATATAAAAACCAGCATCTGGCTGTTTGGGATTCCAGACTCACTGGAGAGTTAGACAGAGAGCACTAAAACACTTGGTAGGTTAAGCTGGTTATTTTGTACACGTGATTAACTGAATTATTTGGTTAAATGATGGTCAGTGATACAGAAATGAAACAAGCAGGAGAGGGATGCTGTTTAAAAAGTATCAGTAGGACAGTCGTGCTTGTAATACTGCTTGGTATTATTCTAACCTACATGTAATTTGGCTTATATAAAATTTACCAAATCTGTATTAAGTTAGACATTTTGAATCATGAGGGGGACAAAAGGTAAATAATGAGCAGAGAGGTAAGTCATAGGAAATGATGTTGGGCTATGAATTTCCTGAAAAGAATGTGAGTCTCTAACTTTGTACTTATTCCACATCTACAATTTCATATAAAATTAATTGAGTGATGATGCTGTGGTAAAAGGAAATTAATCAAATATATAGGAAATCCAGTGGGAATATTTTAAAATCTTAATATATGCACATTCCAAAGCAAAGTAATAAGATGAGACTGAATTATTTAGATAGTTGAGGTGCTAAACTTCTGCCCTGTGGATAAATGTGATGAAGGGACCATGTTTCTGGTGTGCAACAACTGATCATTTGAAACAATTAACTCAGGTTAAACTTCACTTAATACAGGCCTTAAGCATGAATGTCACTAGTTAAATGCTTGCCATTACAAGGAAAATACAGCTTTCACTAAGAGATCATCTGGATCTGAGATTGGGTTATTAGGAAGTAAATTCTTAGCTTAAATAAAGAATATGATCACTGAAGTTACTCAACCATCTGAAATAAGGAAATTCTCCATTATGTCTTCAGGATGGTGTGGTTTTGTTCTGCATAGAGATCATTTGAAATGGTGCTTTCTAAGTCTTGCAAATTAAGGAAATGTTCCTTTTGTGGCACATAAAATTAATTTTTTTGGGGGGAAACAAGTAGTGCTGCAGATGGTGCTCCCAGCAAGGCTTTCAGATGAGCTCAGGTGTGTATTTTAACTTTGGTTTTACTTACGGTGGTACACCAGGAGACAGAGAAAAAACAGCTCCATTTTTAGATCTCAGAATTGTGCCTCAAGTGATTCACCTTTGACTTGTGAGTTTAATTAATGGGATTACTAAATAAATTACCAAACTTTTCAGCCTATTTTTTAGTCATTGTTCATAGACTATCCGTGCTTTCAAGCATGCAGCAAACATTCAAACTAACGAGCTGGTGTGCTTGCTGATTCATGAGAGTCACCACAGGCTGTTCCTGGAGCTGTGTGATTAAAAAGAAGAGAGTGGCTCCTGTGAGTAACATGTATTTCCTCATCAGCCAGAAGAACTTTTCTGCTCTACTGCCCAATTTAGTCCTCCAGGGGTCAGCTTTTTGCATTTAAGAATCTTTGAGCTGTTAAAAGATACTAACTTCTATCTAGCCACGAGTGAGAGCTTCAGAAATACTGGATTAAAAAAAACCCTACTGCTGATGGAAACCATGTTCCTACCTCAGTCAACAAAACATGCAGTCTGCTGCTTCTCTGGATAATTATTTGACATGAATAGAGGAATAAGCAAATAGGGAAACCTGTAACTTCCCAACAGGCTTACACAGGAATACAAATGGATGTCTTTTTCCTTAGATGGAGCCTGCAGATACTTAACCAAAGTCATTCTTTTAGATAAATTCATCAGCTCACATTCACCAATGAACCAGATAAAGATACTTAGCAGAAATCCTTTGTGCTGGATTCCTGGAACCTGAGCCACAGACAGATTTGCTTTCTTAGACTTTTCAGCAGCATCTTTTGCTTAAGTCCTGACCAGAAGTCACTTTGTAGAAAAGTCCAAGATTTCAGGCTTTTTAATGTTGTTTTTCTTTTCTAACATAAAAAATGTAGGATAAAGGAAGAAAAACCTGACAGTCAGGATGAACCCACCGAAAGGAACAAAGGCCCGTCTGAGAGACAAAAAGTGAAACCCTCTGTCAAGAAAGAGAGTAATCCAGATGCTGATACCGACTTAGGAACTGACAGCAGTGATGATGACAGGAGACACAAACACAGTAAAGTAGATTTGAAAAAGAAGAAAAGGAGAGAGAGCTCGGTGAGCAGTGAAGAGGAGGCCAAACATCACAAGAGCCAGAGGCATTCCAGGTCACCAAGTTCATCCAGTGTGGAGGAGGAGCCACGCACCAAAGCCCAAACAAGTCACCTGGCAAAGAGGGGGGAGAGCAGACCAAGCAGAAGGGGGAATGATGAACTGTACAGGGAAAAAGATTATGAGAGAAGTAGGACCCACGAAAAGGATCACCAAAGGGAAAGGGAAGAGCGACACAGGCACGGGGATCACACTAGTAAGGATCACTACAGGAGGAGGGAAGAGCAAGATGATAAGCAAAGGGGGAAGGAAAGAAAGGAGAGGGAGGGACATGGCAGAGAAAGAGGAGAGAGGAGGGCAAAGGAGAGAGAGGAGAAGGGGTCAGAGAAGGAGCGAGAGAAAGAAAGAAGAAATGATAAAGACAGATATAATGACAGAGAGAAGGAGAGAGGAGAGAAATACAGAGAAAAGGAAGATCATGCGAAGGAGAGGAGAGACAAGTATGGTAGTGATGAAAAGAAATACAGAGAGAGGAGGGAAAGTACTCCTGCATCTCTAGAAAAAGATGGAGAGACTGATCTGGAAAAAGAGAGAAAGGGAAAAGACAGACAGGACGAGAAGGGCAGCTCCAGCTCTGGGATTTTGTCTGAACAGAAACGTAAAGCCGGAGAAGAAGGGGAGAAAGAGGAGAAAGAACAAGCACAGAAGCCTCCTGAGGGCATGAGCAAATTTGCCAAACGGAGCAACGAGGAGACAGTGATGTCAGCACGGGACCGGTACCTGGCACGGCAGATGGCACGTGTCACCAGCAAACCCTACATCGAGAAGGAGGAGGATTAATGTCCCTCTGGTGGACAAAGACACCTGGGCTGTCAACCAAAAGGAAAAACCACCTCTGTGTGGACTCTTGTACAGAAGTAAAAGGGTATCCCAGCTATTTATTCCTGGTTTTCCTTTGAGAAATTGTCCCTGAATAGAACAACTTCTGGAATGGATTACTGGATCACTTGATACACCCTTAGTCTGTTTATACAGTTGGAATATTAAATGTGGCTGATTCTGTACACCTCGCCCTTCAGTCCTTGGTACTTAAAAGATTTTGGGCCAGGAAGTGTTAAACATAAGGTGAGAAAACATCCCCCTGGCAGCCCCTGCTCCTTCCACTGGCTGAAACTGAGCTCTGCTGAAACAAAGGTGCTCTCAGCCCTCAGCAGGAGTCATTGTTGCCACATGATGGTCACAAAAATGGGAAGCAAACCTGTAAAAGTGTGGGGGGAAAAGCAAGAAAAACAGCCTGAGTAATAATCTAGATTTCTGTACGTAGTGTGGTTTTGTAAGCTAAATTGATACATGAATTTTGTATTTATGTGTGGGCTTTAGTTTGGGAGCCTGATGTACAGAAACAATAAAGTGTAAGATATGTACTGGATCTAATGTGTGGGTCTTTTTTAATGTGTGAGTTATTTCACCACATCTTTTTTTGCATGAAATAAGGTCTGTGAGTCTTTTTTCACGTATTATGGCTGTATCTGCTTGTTCTGCTGGAAGTGACGTTACAGATTTGTCAATCTTCTGTTCAAAGGTTCAGAATTGAGCATAAAGTTACTTCCAAACCAGGTAAGCAGGATATCTGACAGTGGCTGTAGCTTTTAGAATATATTTTCAGCACTTTCCACAAAGGTTTCTTTTGCTTTGTTTTGTAGTAAAATTATCACTTTCATGCTGGAGCGAGGTGAACTTCCGTAAAAAGGTTTTGAGATGGGTGTTTCCCTAATAATTTGCTCAGCTAACTTAGTAATGAGACAAAATGTGAGTAAAATTAAATGCAAATCCTGCCAGTTTACAGAGACTTGAATGAGTTTCATATGTAAGCTAATCAAGCAGCTGAGCACTTGCTCCAAGTGTGGAGGAGTTTGGTTTTGCTCTTTTGTCTAAACAAATGTAATGAGCATTGGTTCTTCTGCTGGAATGGAATGAAAGAGTGTTCAGCTGTGGGCCAGGGTTCAAACACTGCAGGGAATCCTCTGCTTTTTGTCAGAGGCCTTGTTGATATTGTGAACTCGACTACATATTCTGCTTTTACTTACAAGTGAGATTTTATCTTTGTTCTTCCCATAAGAGAGAGGCACAAGAGACGTCTACAGATGGTTTATGAATATTAAATTTATTACAATAACAGTTTACAGTACAAGGCACATACTGATGACTTACAATCAGCTTGCAACACTTGTAACTAAACAGCTGCATAAATTAATACAGGCGCATCATGTACAAGTTGGAGGGAATACTTAGTTCTGTACAGCTAAAACTCCAGTTTAATTCTCTTTAAAAGGCAAAGATGGTCCTAATTTACCAGTTTCATAACTTCCTTTGACTGTTCAGAACAGAGGGTAGGATATACTCGCGTGATAGATGAGTGGAAGGTGAGCTGAAGAGAAGGAAATTTTTGCCTCAAACATTTGTAATTGCAGTGCAGCCCATTTGGTATCCACATAAGTGGGGTTTGTACAAAACTGACATTTAATATATGGCTACTTGTTGAGCTACCTGATAAATATTGGTTATTTTACATGTTTTCAGGTGGATATGTAAAAGGAAGAAAAAAAGCAATGATATAAGTAAATGAAATCAGTTTCTCAGTATTTCAACCACTCGGTCTAAAGGAAAGTGAAGCCTAAAACATCACAAAAATTGCTTTTGCAGTATTTATGATGCAAGAAACACTAGAAATCGTTACCACTTACAAAATGCAGGAAATGAAAAGGAGGCCAGTGCTGATGTGTGCAGAGCTGTATGTAGTCCTGCTCAGGATTGTTTCCTCTCCCTCTGTCTCCTCCACTACAAACCTCGGGGATTAACTATTTTTTTTTATTCCTAGTTTATAAAACCCTGTGTTGCTCGAGTGATGTATGGCTATCAGAAGTAGTTGTGCATTTTTCCATGTAGTTGAAGCAATTAGGACCTTAAAGCGAATACGACATTGCCCGGGACGAACGACCACACTGAGGAAGGTACGGGAGCACTGCCACAGACTGGGGTTCACACCTAATCCCACCCATCCTGGAGGGGCTGCTGCAGTCCCCCGGTGCCCACACGTGGAGCAGGGATGTTCCCATGCACACAGGCGTCCTCGTGCTCCAGAGGGAGGCAGTTCTCAGTTCAGCCTGGTTGGAAGTGCACAGGAGGTTTCGTTGAACTGCTTGGGTGAATGTGCTGGAGGCATCACGTTCCCAAATGCCTGTTGTCAGTGCTGCAGCCTCCATGGAAAACTCCTCTGTTTCAGCTGGAAAGGGGATTCTTCGGCGGGGGGAGTGTGGGGAAAGTGACATCTTGTGCTCCCCTCTGTCCCCCCAAAGCCAGGGTGTTTATACTGCATTCAGGCGGATGTCTCCAAAGGGAATTTCTGTAGCTGTTTCTGGAGTGATGCTTTTCAGAATACGCTGTTGGAAAACAATCAATATTAGTAATTGATTAATTTTAGAGGTAATACATGACAGCCATTTCGAAAGAGATTTATAATAAAATATGACTTTGAGTTACACCTCTTGAACTACTACTTAACTACTGAACTACTTAACTACTTAAACTACTCTTGAACTACTACCACTTATTACTTCAGGCCTCTGTTATTTCAGCACTATGAAGGTGTAAAGTGCTATAAAAGTACACAGTGGGTTTTTTTAATTATTTGTAACATAATTGAAATCAAAGCTTGGCAGTTGTTGTATTGGTGCTTTAGGACTTTGCAGTTTACTTGGATACCCTGAGTCCACTGAACATATTCTTTATGAACTGGTATTTATTTGAACTTACAGTAAATCCCAAAATTGTCATCACAGGCTGCCACAGGTTTATGGCAGAGAAATCTTATCTTATGGGAGAGAAAAAGAAGCCTTTCTTACAGATATACCCAAGGGAACCAGCCTTTCACTGCCTCTTTGCATGACAGTGTCTGGTGTGATTTCTAGGAAGAGCCTCTAGTTCAGCAGAGCTTAAAAAAATTACATGATATAATATTTATAAGAATATCTCAGTGACCTCAGTAAGACCTGGGGAGACTTTTGAATCCCTCAGAATGGGCAGAAGTCAATTAGCATTCAGCTGGTCAGGGCCAGAACAGCCAAGTCCCAGGTCATTAATCCCTAGAAAAACCTACTCATAATATTTATGGGAATCACCTCCTTCCTAACATCAAATAGAAGCGACAGAGCATCTTGGGTACCTCCTTAAGTGTTCCTGGGGTGATGATCAGCCGATAAACCATGTAGATTGGAATGAAGATGACAGAGGAGGTTCCTATGGAATAACCCACCACTGTGGTCCAGTAGGGATAATCATATTCAAAAAGCCTCAGCTCAGGAGGGTTGGACAGAAAGCTGCAAGTGACAAACTGAAAAAGAGAAAGAATGAAGAATGAATAAGTGGATTTTGGTGGCACACACACACTGGGGAATTCTGTGTTCCTGCCTAGCACTGAAATAAATAAATTAGTAGGACTCAACACATGTTGACACTGAAAAAATCCTGAATTACGTTAGTATGGATTTTAAAAAAGAAACAAAAACCCAACAACAAACCACAAAACAAAAGACCAAAGTGATGCTTTCCAAAGCAGATTCTCTTCACACTGCACTGCTCTCTGTCAATATAGGAAAAGAAAGAAATGTCAGCTTGGTTAATGCTGTTGCATCATTTTCCTGAGCATATCATTCATGGCTGAGAAATGTCCTATGAAGCAACCAATACTTTTAGTTGAATATCACAGGAATAATATTTGTGAATATCTTTGGAAGGATCTCTGACTTGGTTTTTTCCAGAGTATCATCAGAAGCTCAAGATTGCCAGGAAAATATCCATATAGAAATTACATCATTCCTTCTGAGCTTTCCTTATTTTGGGTTAGTTCCCACAGGGAATGCAGATAGCTCTGCCTGGTAACCACATCCCCAGAGCTCTGTGCCTCTGTTTATTTTGCTGGTTTAGGATCACAAAGAGAACAGTTCTATAAAAATTACCGTGGTGTCACATTTTTATTTATAGCCTTTTCATCCCTTCTTTTTCTAGGAGTAATAAAATGAAAGTCTGTTAATTATGCCTTGATCATTACAAGTGCTTTGAATTCACTCTGCAGGTCTTAAATCTACATTCTGTGCTTCATAAACTCCATCTTGACCTGCTCTGCTCCCACTAAGGCCAGTCAGAATAAAAGACAGCGTGAACTAATTTTGAATCAGGAAATGAACACTTTATGTTCAACTGTTATCAATAATACTGCCAAGTCAAATATTTGGGCAGTATTTCCCATTCTGAATTATAGATTTATAAAGGTTGTAATTAACTGCCGTAAAATTTAAGTGGAATATTCTGAAGTTGTCGGTCAGCAGTTGCTGAGACAGTGTATTTACTGATCTTGGTTTTCCTCCTCTGACAGTGTGTTTCATCAGCTCTTATTACTTCATTTTGCTGAGATAAACATAAAGCAACAAAACAAAGTGAGTTTGCTCAGCAGAGGGAAGGAGGAAAGTTATTCAGAACCTAGATGTACTCAGCTAACTCACCTACAGAAATCCTTAAAATCATGATTTAGTAACAAGACCTTGCAGCATTCCGTTGGCTTTATCATTAATTGAGCCTTTTTGGTTCAACGAAAATTATTACTGAAGAACTTCACAAGAAAATTCCAGAATTTAGCTTTTAGGAGTCTAAGGAACTGCATTGCTCAGTGGTAATTTTCTTGTGCTGGAAAGAAAAAGCTCCAAAGAAAACTCACCAGAAGGAAGAGGGGACTAATTGCAACCCAGCAAACTCGCCAGTACCAGCCTGGGGCAGAGCCCAGCATTTCCTTCACGTCGTTGCAGAACTGGGTGATGCCTGTGGAGACAAGTGGGAGGAGAGGGGTGACAGCAGATCTAAGTTTTCCCTAAGTAGATGTTCAGCAGTTTTTATGCCAAGCAAGTAAATCCAGAATCCAGCACCAAAGACTGTTTTGTTCCTATAACTCTTAATTATATTAAATCCTTCATTGGTCTGAATTCTATCTCCTGTTACTTTTAGGTGTCTCTGTACTTCTCTCAGAGAACAATATTAATTCTCACGGATTTAGTAATCAGTGAGTTTGTAAAAAGGTTTTGTGAACTTTTTCTGGAGACATCATTGATCTTTGTCTGCAGAAACTGAGGAAATGCTGCACTGCAGCAGCTCAGGAGTGTTTGTAGACCTACCATAGAACCAGGACACAGCAATTGCTTCCAGGAACACGACGGTCAGGACAGCTGGACCAGTGGCGTATTCCTCAAACAGCTTTACCACGTACGCTCCCCCCTGGAAAGGACATCGAATTGTCAGTGTCCCAGGGATCCAGGGATGGAAATCCTGCTTATTCTCGGGTGGGAAATTCACTCAGTTCTGTCCCTTTGTGGCAGTTCCTGCCAGGGAAATCCTTGGTGATCTGCTCGCTCTCTGTGGACATCCCTCACCACTGGGGTTGCCATGCAGAAAAGCTAAAACCTGCTGGCAGTTCTACCTGGATTTTACTGAACAAAATGGGGTTTGGTGGTAGTTGGCGGGATGGCTTTTGCCTGCCTTCTATGATGGCATCTTTCTCCAACATGAGTTATAGCAACTGAATAGGAAATAAATTAAGTGTTGCTTTACTTTCTTCCCATTTGGGGTCTAGAATCATGAAGGAGGAGGCTCCTTGGGGAGGGACTAATCATCCTTGTAGAGCAAACACTTTAAATGAGAAGGAAGTTACATATAAATGAGCAAGTGGAGTGAAACGTGACAGGAAAGCCAAGTATTTTTTTCTTTTTCCCTTATGGTCATTACACTCATTATTCAAAAAATTCTTATTGTGAGAATGAAATCCACAAGCCCCACAGGAACTCTTTGGTGTGACTAATGATTTCTGGGATATCCAGGAAATTCATTACTAGAAGTTTTTGGAGAACTGTAACAGTCAACTACAGCATTTTCTAGCAGATCATTTTTGATAATTTTTGTAATTCAAAATACATTTTAAACATTGGGGAAGTTATAACAATTCGTGTTATTTTTAAACATGGAGTTTCTGGGAACATGAAGTAAACCACACACAAAATGTGGAGGGCTGTCTGCTGACTGATGCAGCAGCTGGAGCAGCCGTGTCATTTATGATGTGTTGCAGTAGGATCATTTTGCAACACATTTCCTAGTGAAATAGTGTTCACATTTATTCCAAGTAACAGATTTCTAATGTATAAAGATCACAGGCTGGAGATTTAATCTGATGTCTTGAAACTCTCTTGAAAAAATACCACCCTCTCCAAGATGTCCTTTGCAGGAAACTGCCAGTGAGGAGGGCTGGGAGTGGGTGAAATACTCACAAATGTCAGGGTTGCCAGTGACCCCAAAAAGCAAACAACGATCAGGCCAAGGACGAACAATTCCCTGCGTTTGCCCCAGACATGTGGGAATTCATCCAGTACTCCAGTAATCACTCCCTCTAGTCCTGCAAACTGAAAAGCATGGAAAAATCACTGGAAAATAGAGGGCAGTGTTACCTGCTTGAAAGTGTTTCGATACTTAAAGGAGCTTTACAGCACAGAAACACTGGGGCTTTGTTCTGCTATAGAGGTGGTGTGGCTGCTGTTTAGACAAGTCTCTCCTCAGAAAGCTCTTTAAAGCTCTTTAGGGTGGGGATTTAGTCTTCCAAGTATCTGCAGGAATGGACTGTCATCCAGAGGCAGTTCTGTGTTACAGGCACTCGGGTGGGGACAAGTGGGAGGTGATTCAGTAGAACCAAGATCGTTAAATCAGCTGAGCTCAGCCTTGCTGGAAGGAGCTAATTCTCCATCTGTAAAACCAGGCTCACATCATAAGCTTTTAGTGTTATCTCCTTCTCACAGTGCCGCTGAGAGTTCCCACCTCCAGTTCCCACCTTTTAAATCCAATTTGTGGGAAAAACTTCCAGAATTTAATAATTGCTTTGTAGGTTTACAAGCGAGAAGGAGCCTGGAAGGCAGCATTCAACCAGGGGTTTGTGCATCAAGTGCTTTGGTTGTGTTTCTGGGCCTGTTAGGAGTTGTCACAGTATGACAGTGACAAATCATTTAATTATATTTAGGCAAAAATTGGTGTAATAGTTGCACCTGGAGTTGCCAATCCTGCTGTAAACCCCCCAGTGACAGTGCAATGTTTGCAGTTCTGTTTCTGTGCTGTCGGGGGGGCTGAGGCCATACATGGAGGGTCTGGGAGCCCCACTACTCACCGTGCTGTCTAATCCCAGCGTGAGCAGCATCAGGAAGAAGATGATGGCGAAGAAGGTGGAAGCTGGCATGTTGGCAATGGCCTCGGCGTACGTGATGAAGAGCAGGCTGGGTCCTGGTGTCAGAGAATTGGGATAATTGTCAGCAGTGCTGCTGCAGGGAGGGCAGGCTGGGTCACTGAAACATGTTATCTCCCAGGGGAAAACTCCCCACAGGCTGTTACCACCACGTGTGTGAAGCTGCAATATGACTTGTATGTGCTGTATTTATGGGCTAATTTTTTAGCTCTACTGGGTAACAGTGCCCATATCATAAAGTCAGTATCCTGAATCAACACTAAATATTTCTCATCACTTGGGCTGTTCTCGATCTAGAAGGTATCACACAAATACATCCTTTCTTAGAAGCAGTTTGAGGTGTGTAAGAGCATTAACCTACCGGTGTCTTTGGCAACCTCTGACACATCCTCGTTCCTCATCTCAGCCATGTATCCCAGCACAGTGAAGATGACAAATCCAGACACGAAACTGGTCACGCAGTTCACGGTGCTGGTAACCAGAGCATCTCTGCAACAGAAGACCTAACTCACATCAGGGAATGTGCATCTGCTGCAAAGAGTAATTTACAACCAGATGGGGTGAGTTAACAGTCTGGACAGACTCCTAGAAAAACTAGGAGAATACAGGGAAAAAAACAAGCAGCAGGTTTGAAAGAAATTAAAAAATAAAACAACCCATGACTACTTTTCCTTCTTCAAATTCAAACAGGTGCTGTAACATTAGTCTGACACTAGATTGAATGCTGGCTGTTTTAAAAGAATAGGAATTACTATAGGAATATTAAAGAATTGAGAATTTTATTTCACAAGTTAGAAACAGAATTTTTTCAATTTAACAAGGAAACAACTATAAATTGCCTTTCAGCTCAAGAACATGAAGTCATTTCCTAAGATTAAATAATTACAGTGTGATGGTTTGGCAGGGGTTTAGTCCATTTTGTTGCCACAGTTTTCTACACTTTAGACCTCTGCTGTAATTGGTGAAAATGATTTCTCTTTAAGGTGGGCACAACAGAGGAGAAATGCTTTAGATTGCAAGTTCTTGCAATAAGGATTTCTGTTGTTACACTTCTGTCTCATTTGTATGTACACAGGTCTGACATTTCAGTGCCTTTCACCAGCACCGTGTTTCTTTTTCATCAATACCCACAGTTACATTTTTTAACTCGATTTTACTTTTAGAATAAGGTAGAACTCACTGGTAGCAGTTGTTATGGAATTTGTTGTAGCTGGCATAAGCCAATAGGACCCCAAAACCTGGTCCCAGGGAGAAAAAAATCTGAGCTGCTGCATCCACCCAAACCTGAAAAATATTGAAAATCAAGAAAAAAATGACGTGAAACAGATTGAATGAGTTTGGCATATTCAGAATATCACTTAGGCCTACAAAAGGGTTTTTCAGTGCTCTGCCTGTGTCCTAATCCTGGTCTAACTGACACTTTGTTAGGAGAGATGTTGAAATATGAATGATTATTATAGGTCTGTGAGAGCTGTAAATATCTACTCTAATTTTGGTGCCTATGGGTGCTTCTTTTTTCTCTGCACTGTTGTGGCAGTTTCACTTCTGGCAGCATTTTAGATTAAGTCAGTGATTTGCCTCGTAATCAGTTTAACGCAAGTTTTGCACACTTTTGTATAGAGAACTTTCTATCCATGATTTTGCAGTCTGGAGTCCTCCAAACTCTGTGTGCTGTGGAGTAGTCCCGTGTTTGGCTTTGTGTCCTCCAGGCTAAGTAGTAGCTGAACACTGTCCAGATTTTTCCTAGATTTGTGGAAATCCATTTGACAGTGTGGGTGCAGTTCTGGTCCTTAGGACTCAATTCAGCTTTGTTGTAGCCGTGACAGATGCAAGTGTGATGATCTTGTTATGAAAAGCCTGTTGTACTTGAAAAGTGGCCACAGCCCTAATGAGTAATGTTCTAAAGTACAATATCAGTTCTCTTTCTGAAGGTGAAAGTCCTCATTCATTTATCCTCTTTTGATTGAAACATGGAGTTCATTACAACTCATTTCTAATATTCTCTTCCATCGTGTGAGGCCATCCTGTATCACCCAGACAGAGCTCTGTCATCGTCCAGCACACAGATTGCAATCTGCTGTCCTCACTCCAGATACATCCAATACAATATCAATGCCCTTTATTGCTTTTTCAGAAGATGTGGGTCCTTATTGGAGATGCTGCTTTATCAGAGACTGGTGTCTTTTCATTTCCTCTTCATTCAAAACTCTCCATATCAGCTGGGCAGCACCAGACTTGCAAACATTAGAAATTTTTAATCTATGTGTTTGTAGTATTTATTGCTTTGGGGTTTTTTCCATCACCCTCCTCACTAGACACTTTCACAGGCAGTGAAGTAAGTGCAGCCTTGGACCTGATGGACTGTTTGTCATCCACGGAGTTCAAGGCTGAATCAGATACTGGAGTGCCTGGGGTTTGTTGGTTCACTCAGTCTTGTCCTCATTCCTCCTTTCCTTCCAGATTTTGGAGGTGTATGCAGGCCTGTCTGATTTATTCCTCCTCCACAGCCTGTTCACCATTTTTCTAATGAAAAACTGGTCATTTGTTTTCTTTCAAATCATATTGCTAATTCTATTCACACACTGTATGGGAATTCTGCCACTGATGGTGGACTCTCATCTTTAAAGTTCTTCATAATTATGGAAGGAGTAGCAGGACTGTTTAAACAAGAGCATGGAGTCAGGCTTTTAAGCCTGTGCTGAGACATCTGTTCAATCATGCTCTTTTGGACACTGAGCTATGTATGTGCTGATACACACAGATAGGCTAAAAGCAAATCTCTGCCCTCTGATGCTGTTTCTTACCTCAGTGGCCAGGAGTTTCTGCCAGTCGGGTTTCAAGTAGTAGAGGACACCTCTCCAAGCCCCAGGCAGAGTTGCACCTCTCACTAGCAGGACAAAGAGGATGATGTAAGGGAACGTGGCAGTCACCCAAACCACCTGTGAGGGAAAATGGTAACACAGCATTTGCCACAGGTAGAAATTTAACAGGGGTAATAAGAATGAGATATTTATGTTATATCTCTTAGGATTTATAACATCTTCACATGAGCTGTTCTGAGGGTCTGCAGACAGGCAGTGTGCACATCTGTACCCGCTTTCCTTGGCAGGGCTGTTCTTGCCCAGAGAACAAGGGTGTAACTTACTGGTGTCATGTATTACTTGGATAACAATAGCAGTCACTCTACAGCATTCCCAAATAATCAGCCTATAATCCCTGTCATGAACACTGAGACAATTCCCTGACAGTTAACTGGCTCATTTAGAACTGCCTCTAGACTGTCCTGTACCAAGTTGATTTATCCTACTTTTGCATTCACCTTGCCAGATGTTTTGACCCCTTTCCAGATGCTGAAGTACACAATGGTGAAGATTAACAACAAGCAGAGGGTCAGTTGCCAGCTGATGCCCCCCAGGTCATCCAGCCCCTCAGACCTGTGCACCTGTAGAACTTGGCGGCTGAAAGAGGAAAGAAAAACACAGTAGAGATATTTTTTTTTTTTAATAAATGCTTACCCTAAGTTTGCTTTGAACAGTCCCATACCGTGGTGTGAGCATTACAAGGAATCCTGAGGCCTTGATAAGTAGCCTTCGGAGTCTTGTAATCTCAGATTTATTTTGTTTTAGCTGAAAGTTTGACGTTAATGGTACGTCGGGGATAATAAGTGATGACAGCTGAGTACCCCCATACACTCTAAGCTTACATAACCTACAAATATTCAGTGATTTTAATGGTTCAGAAGAGGGCACCATTAACATTAAGCCCTGCTCTCCTCCAAGGAAGAGCTTGCTCCCTGCTCCACCAGACTGTCTCCTATCACCGTCCTCACTTACATGCACTTACGTATAAAATTCTTCTGCGGGAGAGACGGAGTGCACGGACCAGCTGACGTTGTCCTTGCTGAAGTAGTTGGTGCAGTTGCCTGTGTTCCAGGGGTTTGTGCAGCTGGTCCAGGGCAGCTCCGCCGTGAAGGAGGATATGAGGTAGTAAAAGGCCCAAGCCATGATGGTGTTGTAGTAGGAGGCTACGTAAAGATCTATTATACAGATGGCAAAGCCAATTCCTAGGGAGGCAGGAAATAATTACATGCAGTCAGTGTAAAGTTTAGGCCAAAAATAAAAGGAATTGTTTGTCACATCAACTACCATTAGTGACTTTCTAGGGCAGCTCTGCAGGACTTAACCATACCCTCCCAGGTGTTTACAATGCTGGAATTTCATGTGACTTCAGAAACACTCAGGATCTGATCCCACTAAAACATCATTAGACAAGACAGAACATGCTTATAGAGATTTTTTTGTCTGTTCCTAAATTTCTGGAATTTAGAAATAGACATCTTGCAGTCTCAAAAAAGACAAGACCAGAGCTATAACACTGGGAACAACAGTAAATGAGCATATAGAACTCCTTCTTTTCTTATCTTTTATTTATATTTTCAGGCTTGGGTCAGAGAAGTGGACTGGCCTCTAATCAATTTGAGAGTTGCATATTATAGGTGTGTACAACAGTACACACGCGTGCAGATGTACATAGAGTTTTAGGAAAGCTTTCTTTGTAAAACCAAAATCTTGTGTAGAACAAGCCTTAAGAGTTTTATGAGATTTTCCTTTTTTTCCCAGAAATTTCATCTTTATAGGAAAATTTTCCAGTTATTCATAAAGTTCCATTTCCCTTCTTTACCTTTGAATATAGGACATATTTTTCTCCAAATGGAAATACACCCATTCCTGTGGTACTGTCCTAGTGCTAATTCCATATAGAAGAGGGGAATCCCTCCAAAGATGGCCATGATTGTGTAAGGAATGAGGAATGCTCCTGCAAGAGAGAAAGCACATGATTGTAACTCTTCATAGGACTTCTCTTCCAACAGTACCAGCACTCCAGAAACAGGAGTTCCTTTTATCCCACAGGGAAAATGCATATCCCCTCTGTAGCCAGTGCTCCACACTGAATTACTGCGGGATTTCTTGTGAGAGTAACTACTTAACTGTGTGAACAAGAAGCAGCACCCAGGCCAAATTTCTCACATTTCTGTAGTGAGTACATGTAGGATTCACCAAGACTCCACTGGCTACAGTGGGTACAGCTGTGAAATGGGCTGCAGATAAAATAATTTATTTAGCCAGTAAAATGCCTTTGTTACATCAAGGAGACAAAAGTCCTTTCCAAGATCTCCTTGAGTAGATTTTAGATTTATATTTTGTCTCTTGTGCCAGTCTAAGACCTCACCTTCCTCATGAGTTGGTTTTGACATGTTGGTTTATCTGACTTTAAAATACTCCTTTGGACAGGGATTGAGTGTTTCCTGTTGGAGGGTGATTCTGCACATAGCTTGCTCTCAGCTTCTAATTGTATACTGATTTTTTAAATCCTGCTGACTAGTTTTTCTTTCATCTTAATGTTATCCTATCCCAATATTTAAGTTTTCCAGTCTGCTTAAAAAGTAAGTCATTTCCCTCTGGTTATTTGGTACACATGATAATTTAAAAGCCACTGAGTCACCCATTTATAAGCAAGGAAGTTCAGCATTAGGAAACACCCGACAGGGCTGGGCACTGACCTCCTCCGTTTTGGTAGCATATATAGGGAAATCTCCACACATTTCCCAGATCCACTGCATATCCAATGACAGAGAGGAGAAAGTCAATTTTTTTACTCCAGGTCTCTCTGTCTTCCAGCTCCATCAGCTGCTGCTGCCCTTCAGCTCCACAGGTGGTGGATGTGGTGGTTGTGGTGGTGGTTGTGGCTGCTGGGGCCGTGCCCTGGGTATCCTCCACCTCTCCCATCCCATTGCAGGGGGCCGAGCTCTGAACTGCTGAATAACCATTGGAGATCTGAGCGGCCTCCCCTTTATCCCCCTGGCTGGGATGGACCTTATTGCCATCCTCCACCAGCCGGAGGGCAGATTTAGGGTTCCTGACCAGAAGTCTGTTCTCTTTACAATCTTCTCCTTTGTTACAGTCTGAGACGTCTTTCTTGGAAGTCAGTGGCTCAGTCTCATTGCTTGTTGCCTGTTTTTCCATTTTTTCTGGGATTTGTTCTGATCACTTGCAGACAGGCAGCAGCACAGAGTCCCCTCGTGGCTTGTCTTCCCACACTTTTATTCCCACCACTTTTAGAATTCCTCTTCCATACTTAAATCCATCAAATTGAAGGCACAGGCACCATCTAAGAAATTAAAAGAGAGTTACAAATCCATGATTCTGGTGACTTTCAAGTTACAACTGACAGATTCTGTGATTAAAATACCGTCGGAAGGAATTAGCCATCACAGCATGCAATGTGAATCACAGAGCTGATAATCCATCCAGGATTTTGTCCAGAGAAAGGAAGGAAACAGTCATCCTCTTCCACAGCAGAGGTCGGTGTACCTGCATTGCACCCTCTCAGGCAGGTGTGCGGGACTTTGGGCATTGTTGGACACCTCACAGGCAGTCACAGTCCTGCTGTCTTCTGTTCTCTGAGCACTGGATTCACACCCAGGGAGCTTGTGGGACTCCCAGTTTGCAAACTGAGGTCAGAGTTTAGTGTGACTTGGACATTCATTTTCATAAGCTGTGACTGATCCACTCATCCTGTGGCAATTTCTAGATTCACCCAGTATGAAGGGAAAAGAATTATTTAAAGAAATATGAGATAACCATGGATATAAAAATTACATTTCATGACTACCTTTCTTGAGAATCCCACAGTGTCTGCTATGTTTAGCAGCAGACCTAGAAGGCTTGAATGAAACTTCAGAAAAGTATTTAAATCTCACTGGTTTTGCATCAATTAACACTTGAGGCTCGGTCAACACTAATAGCAGGAAGAAAAGATCATAAACTTCAATTTGATTCTTTTGATTAAGAACTAACACGTGAGTCTAAAGGATAAAACTTGTCCCTGGTTTTATTTGACTCCTTGGGCAGATAAAAGCATCTTTCCTTCTGTTTGGATCTGCTGACACTGTGGTTCCAGCCCCAGGAAGGGTAGTGGGCAAAAAAACAGGCACTGGGAGAATCCCTGGCTTTACCTGCCCTCTTCATATGTGCTAAAAACAGAATCCAAGGGAAATAAACCATCCTGAAATAAAGAAAAAATGTGACACAAATAACTTTTCCTTCAGAACAAAGAGAACAGAAAAAGAGTTGTGATTCAGCAGGTTATGCTTTGTTTTCTGCTCATTCGTTCAGATAATGTAAATACTCAACTGCCTTTACCCAACAAAACCCTGGCACAGGAGTTGATCCTCTGTGCTGTAAATTCCCCGGGGTAGTAACCCTGCTTTATAGCCAGCAAAGAGCCACACAATCTACACCACAGATTAAATGCCACCACAGATTAAATTATTACAGTTACATCTATTCTTAACTTTTCAAAGCATTTTACAACAGTAACTACTATTGTCACATCCTAGCAGAACAATAAGCATTATTTCATTTTTAACTGGAGGAAAAACTAAAGCAGAGAAGGGATATTACTTACTTATTTCTAGAATTTGCTGATTACCAGTGCTATTAAAACTCAAGTTTTTCCCAGCTTTGAGCCTTTTGCAAAGACAACTTGTTAAACCTCTTCTAAACATTTCTCAGTTCAAGTAGAAAGAGAAGGAAAGTTATCAAACTGCAGAGCAAAGGGGAGGATGTTCTCGAGATAAAAGTCACTTGAAGGTGTTGTTTATAACTTGCAGGAATCTCTAATTCTCCAGGCTTACCTTCTGTCTTTACCCAAATAATGCAAGCAATGCATCATTAATTTGAATTTTTACAGGAGCACGTACTTTGCTACCATTAGTTAATCATCCACAAAGATTGAAACATCGAGAACAGGAGTTTCTGTTTTACCTGCAGGACCAGAAAACCCGAATGTCTTTGGAGTCCAAAACCTTCCAAATGTCCCAAAGGAGCTTGTGTAGATGGCAACAGTCCTACCACCACTGGTGTCAACACAGAACTCCTCGGAAAGGCCACAGCCAATCCTCCCCTCGTATAGAGCATATGAAATATAAGGTAGGAATATGGAAAAGTAACCTGAGCCCTTCTGGACTTTACACCTCTGATCCATAAATGGGAAAGCAGTAAAGGATGTTGATTCAACTGCATTATCTCTTGGGACTGATTTTCCCATACCTGAGGCTTAAACACTTACTGTGTTTGCAAAGCCCTTTGTTTCTGCACAAAGATATTTCTCTGTGCTTTCTTCACTGAGGGGAGGTCCTCTTGTCACAAGATCTGTGACAATCAGGATCATTGTCTATCCAGATCTAAGCTCCTTCTGGTCTTCTGCAGACCACAGGAAAGAAATGGAACATTATTTGAAATATTTTTGTAGAATTTTCAGTAGTTTGAGCCTCAAAGATGCAAAATGGCATGTGAATTTTCAGGGGTTTGAGATGGAACTATTTTTTTTTCTGAAACAGAACTACAGCTTGTCAGTTATCCTGGGAAATCTCTGGAGTGACAGACTCCAGGGCTATGCAGTGGTGTTCACGGGGGCATGGTTGGCACATGAAAACAGAACAGTTACAGAATCAGAAGGTTTCCTTACGCTGTAAAAAACTCCGGGAGAATGTACTTTTCCCCCTGATTTGTTACAACTCAAGAAAAAAAATACTTGAAGGAACCGTAACAACTACAAACAGTGAACAGCTGCAGAACTGGAGCTCTTGGGGTTAGGAAGTATGCTAGGACAGCAGGGAGGACATCCAGGGAAATTTTTGCCCACTTCAGCCTCCATTTCTCTGTGCTGATGTCTCAGTACTTCAGGTGCTTGACTGATGACAGTGAACGATCTCAGAAATGGCAGTTTATTACCTATTTTCAATCTGAGCTGTTGCAAAGGTTGCTCTTACATAACTGCACCTTGGCTTCTTATCACCCATAATTAGCTACAGAAGAGAAAGCAAAGCCAAGAAGAAGAAGAGGACAGATATCTGTGCCTTCATTTCGGTTTGATCTGTGTTTGGTGGACGTGACTTTGCTCCTTCGGGAGGCCCTGAGTGCTTTGTCTCCCTTCAGTAGCTCTGCCCAGAGATTATTCTGCAGGGCAGTTTTCACCTCAGTATTTCCATGCCATTCAAGAGCACGTGGAAGGTGCCAGGCTGGGAATGGCACCCTCCCTGTGCAAAGAGTGACTAAAGAGGAGTGACCCTGGAACATGTAGCGTGTCCACCACAACTATTCCCTGCTTTGCTTGTTTGTTGAAAACACCCAGATGGATAATTGAAGACATGTGTTTGTACATGCTTGGCTGGAGCCACCAACGCAGTTCACATCAGCCAAATATTAATTAAATTATATTTATTTATCTCCCACACAGAGCTAAACTTGAACCAGCGCTGTAGATGTAAAAGCCCTGCATGACACAAATGATGTAAAAGCCTTGATGCACAAATTCGGCTCCTTTGCCTCTAGCAAAGCAATCCTCGAGGAGCATCCCTGGCCTGGGGTCTGCTTCCTTTTGCACAACTGGTGCCTCATCTCCTGTTTATTTCTGGAGCACGCAGTGACCTCTCCTGGAGGTGTGGGAATCCCTTGCCTTTAGTGCTCTGCCGCAGAGTAAACAAATCCTTCCAGCACTTTAAAACAAAGTGATTCTCCGGCTGGTTTTTTTTTTTTTTAAAAGGAGAAAATGACTTTTAGTGTGTCTGAGAGAACAAAGCAAGGAGGTTGAGATACAGCAAACAGCAGATGCTTCAAGGAGGCAAATCTTAAAGCCTCGAGTCACCTGGAGGTTTCTGTGTTTGAGGTGTGGCTGCAGTGCCTGGGCAGCTCCCAGGGCTTGTCCAGCCCCCTGTGCCTGACTGCAGAAGTCATGACAGCCACAAAATTCGTAGATTTGTGTACATTTCGCTTCATGTGAATTATGTTCTTATTCCACGTGCTGATTTTACAAAGCAAAGCTTGTGGAGAAGCAGCCGCTGACTGGGTTACAGCCACATTCCTGCAGCAGAACTCACGTCCCACCGCCCCTCCCACTGCTCCGGCCGCTCGCAGGCAGGGACTTGCAGGGAATTAATGCACTTGGAACCTCAAGACAAAGAGTGAGCCCAGGGTGCTGGCAAACAGAATCAAACTGTTAACTTGACCTAAGTCTCACTTTTATCACTAAGTATTTCAGATGGTTGAAGTTCCATATCTGCCTGACTGCAGTTACACCTTGCGGTTCACACAGGCTTGTACACAAATGGAAAGAGTCCAAGGAAATTACTTTTATCTGGAATATCAAACAAGAAGTTTGTATGACTACGAATGAGATAGAACTCATTTATCCCACGCAGGAGAAGGCTGTGCTGTTTACCTGGAGGCACCATTCTCACCTCTGAGCCAAAATATGAGCCGTGACCCTCCAACAGACTCATACCTGGGTGTTTCCAGGTGCTGGACTCATGTCACACATGAGTCATATTTAGGTTCATCATGCAAAAAAATTAGTGCCTTTTGATTTTGAGTGGGTCACTTACACTGATTTAATTAAAAAATTAATACCTAAAATATCCTTTTCCATTATCTTGTTTCCATTAGCAAGCTGACAGAAAGTATGACAGTTTGCATTTCAGATTTCAAAGCCTGATGTTCTTATATAATTGGTACCCACAGAATTGGGGTGTTTGAGCCCTTCCCTGGTAAAAGTCTGACAACTGACAACCCACATTACAAAGCAGATTTAAGCTGATATCTAGAATATCCCTCAACAACTGAACATTGATTTGTTCAGGGTTTTTTTTGAGATATTCTTCTCTAGTTGAACTGAGTTTTGATAGAGTGATCAAAACCCGCTGAAATTTATGTTGCAGTGAGTTGTTACAGGTCTGATCCCAGTGCTGGTGATTTTAAATGTTACTGGATTGGGTGCTTTGGCACAGCACTAACATGTGAATGTTTCACAGGAGATTTGCAGTATGTAGGTGACCATGGATCCTGTATATGAATATTTGCAGGTCTCCAAGGGCTTGCTCACATACTAAAGCAGAGTCCAAGTGTACTCAGCAAGTAGTGCTGGTGAGACAATGGCCCTCCTGGGTGAACAAAAGTGTTTCCCAAAGAATGGCATAAGGAGTGGGCTCTCTCCAGTTAACTCCTGTATTCCCAGATAAGGCTAAATATAGGTAAGATGGGAAAACAGTGCTTCTGAAAGCAACGGTATTGGGGAAATATAAACCTGTGCTGTGAGTTTTATGTCACAATTTTATCCATGTTTCAGTCTGAAATTAAAAAGTCTG